GAAGGAGGAGAAAAAGACGACTCGACTGGACCGGACTACAATTATCTGCTGAGCATGCCCATGTGGTTCTTGACAAAAGAGAAAAAGGAGGAGCTGTGCAAACAGAGGGATGCTAAGGTGAGCTATGCGGCAAACTTAGTGATGCTTTAAGCTTGAAATGGTAGATTATTAGCTCCTGTGTTAAGGTCGTGTGTTTCTGTCCTAACTCTTGTACAGGTGACAGAGCTAAACACCCTAAAGAAAAAGAGTCCAGCAGACCTGTGGAGGGAGGACCTTGCTGCCTTCTCTGAGGAACTGGCGGTACTGGATCTTTTCTGTCTTCCTCTTTTCTTTTCCTTTTTCTGCTTTATATCCAATCAGTGCACTTTGTTAGTCATGTGATCAGATTGTGATAATGTTATATCTAAAGAACAACTGTGATCGGTGCTTTTGCTCCTGGTCAAACTTGTGATGTATTTTTCTTCTTCTTGTGTTTAGCGGGTTGAGGCAAAGGAAAAGGAAAATGCCACCCTTCCTGTAAAAACTGGAAAAGGCAAAGCAGTAAAGGTGAAAAAGGAGACTTTGCCCACTCCACAGGGCCGCCGCGTCATTCCACGCGTCACCAGCACCATGAAGGCTGAAGCTAACAGGAAGGCTGATCTGAAGAAAGGAGAGGGCAAGAGAGGAAAGAAAATCAAGGTATGTTTTCATATGTGATTGTGCATATAAACTGTTTTTTACATTAACACATTCAGAACAACAAACTGCCCAAAAGTAACATTTTTCTTGACCTCATTTCTGTCTCTGAAGAGTGAAGATGTTGTGATGAAGATGGAGTTTGGAGAGGATGCAGAAAATACAGAGCCGGTTGAGGAAACGGGCTTAGCTGCACGGCTGAGCAAGAAAACCAAGACCCAAGCAGCAGAAAAAGGTAGAAATGACTGTTCAGGATATCGCCTGGAAATCATTTCAACTATGATCACACACCTCTGCTTACTGGTGTAACCACGAAGCTCTTTAGTGAGATCTAGTGGCAAACCTGTAACAATACACATTTTGCAGACTTGACCTCCACAATCAAAGTTTTGAAAATTGCCGGCTCTCAACTAAATGATATTGTACTCCGCCAACATGGATACAAACTCCGTTTTTGGGGAATTAAAGTTTAGATTATGTTTTCAACAACCTAATCCAAACTATACAGACGTTCCTTCATGCACACAAAACTGGATTGTGTAAAATTTGGTGCTTGCTATAACATTCACTCAAAAATGTTGATAATCATAAGCAAGTTTCTATAATAAATATCAGTTTGCACTTAAATTTTACATTTTTGTTTAAGTTCATAAAGAAGTGCATTTCTCGTGTGCAGCAGCATCAAAGACGGGCAAGCAGACCACTCTTCAGTTCAAGCCTGTTACCAAGAAGCCCAAGAAAAACGCATGGTCAGATGAGGATGTCAGCCTGTCGGACAGTGAAGTAGAGGCAGAGGAAGCGGCTGCCCCCAGAGAGCGCGTAGAACGGAAAACCAAAGGTGAATCTGCTTGATGGCCCACACTGCTTCCTCTGCTGATGGATAACTCTTTAAGTGGTGTGATTTCCTATTTATTTATGTTATGTTTGTTACACCTAAATGTTTTAGATAATTAAAAAAATGTAAATAATAGAGTAAACATAAAATGCTTTTTCTAAATGAAGGTGTTTATTATTAAGATTATTAACTTATCTGGAAATGAGCCAAATTGAAGGGTTTTTGAGCAGCATTTTAACACCTCAGCTTCTCATGCTTGTTTTCTTTGACAAAGCGCAGCATTACTAAAGCTGCCTTTTCATTTTGTTCTTTTTTTACTGTTTAAGCTGCGGTGAAGTACAGCATGTCTGACAGTGAAGATGATTTTGATGACTGGGGGAAGAAGGACGCTCCAAAAAGGAAGGCTTTAATAAGTGACGATGATGATGCAAGCTTCGCCCCAGATCCCAGCACTGTGTCGGACAATGATGTGGACTCTCCAGCTCCGCCTCCCAAAGCTGCAGAACCCACGTGAGTATAAGAAAAACCTTAAAACGTATCTTTCTTTTGTTTTAATGTACCTTAAAAACAAACCTTGTCTTTTGTCTGCAGGAAGAAGGTAGCAAAAAGCAAATCGACAGTTAAAAAAACAGACACAAAGTCGAGCTGTAAGTATTTTCGTTTAGGATCATAGTTTGATGAATTTGCGAAATGTGGGGCCAAGGCTCTGAGGACTGGATATTTTGTCTCTGTGGCACTTTACAGCTCTGTCAGATGATCAGGAGCCAGCATCCAAGCCTCCAACTCAACGTAAAACCAAAGAGGCCGCACCGAAGAAGCCCGCCGCTGCCAAGAAACCAGCTGCATCCAAGAAGAAGGCTGCAGGTAACACAGATGTTTGTTTGGTCTTATAAAGGTCACAGGTAGATTTGAGCACATGATCATTATAAAACAAAGAAATCAACAAATTTATCTTTGGAATGTCGTTTTTTTTGTTTTTTCTCTAGATGTGAAGCAGCCATCTATCTTGGATGCTCTCTCTAAACCCAAACCTGCGTCCAGGGCTCCTGCTGCCAAGAAGGTCCCGTCATTCGACTCTAGCGACTCAGAGATTGAAAAGAAAGCTCCCGTCACAAAACAGAAACCTGTTCTTAAACGTAAAAAGAACCTCAGTGATGACTCTGACAGCAGCTCCTCAGATGACCTCATGTCACGACTCAAATCCAAGACGACTGCTGGCACCAAGGTCAGTTTTTATACTGAACACTCGTTTTCTATTTATGTGTTACGTCATAAGATGTGATTCAAGTATTTCAGAAGTTGGCATATTCCTGCAGTACAGTAGCCCAACCTCAGGAAGTAAAACTCTAAATATAAGATAAGATAAGATAAGATAACCTTTATTAGTCCCACACGTGGGAAATTTGTTTTGTCACAGCAGGAAGTGGACAGTGCAAAAGTTATGAGGCAAAAATTAGGATACAATAAGAATAAATACAGTACACACCTGTACAGAATAGAATAAATAAAATACTATATACAGTAGAATAAAATAAAATAAATATACAATAAGATAAAAATAGAATACAAATACAAATGCTATATGCAACTGAGTAAAAATACAACGATGACAGAAAGGATTATTGCACTTAGTATTATTGCATATGTATGGATGTGTGTGTTTGATCAGTTAAAGTTTTTATTATAAAATGAAATACTATAAACTCTGACCACGAAAAAGTGGCTCAACAATGAAGCTATTAAAAGAATAAAAGTAGCTTTTTAAATGGTGACATTTGAAATAAAACTACTGACTTAAGTAGAACAAATGATTCTCTGCTACACATGTTTAGATTTTAAAGGTTTCCTGTATGCATCCTGTGCTAATATAATCCTTTTAATCTCCTTTTCTGCTACAGAAGAGCAAGAAGTGGGAAGAGGATGAGAGTTTCCAGGTTTCAGACCCTGAAGAAGCTGCTCCTGTAGCTGCAGCACCACGGGATAAACCCTCACGGGCCCGGAAACCCATCACCTACAACCTGGACTCAGATTCAGATGAAGATTTTTAAATAATAGTTCTCAAATTGTTATTTCGAAAAGATGACATAAATGTTGTAGTGTGCCATGCAGGTAATATTGCACTCATTTTATCTGTTGAAGTTCAGCTGCATTTACACTCGCCTCATATATGGACCTTGGACCAGCAATCTGTAACCTTTAAATTAAAAAAAGACATAAACAAAAACTCACCATTGTTTATTTTTTTAAAAAAAATCGTATTATTTCAAAAAGAAGGGGGAAAAAAAGCTGGTATACAAGTCTAGTTTTAATAGTATTTGTTCTTAGCTTCTAGGCGTATTTTGTAATCCACTTGTTTGTGTTTTGTGCTGTCCTGTAAATATTTCTTTGGCTGTTCAGTTTACCTTTAAAAAATAAAGTTTTTTTTTATTGATTGCATGGTGTGTTTGATTCGTGTCACCGGGTTGTGTTGGGGCTCCTGTTTAATGAAAAAAGCTACTTGCTTTAATCTTGTAGAAAGATTTTAATGCAATGCAGCAGTAGGAGCATCCAAATATACACTATATTGCTAAAAGTATTCACTTATCTGCCTTCAAACACATGAATTTGAGTAAACTCCCGTTCTTAATCCGTAGGGTTTAATATTGGTTCTGCAGGCCAGTCGAGTTCTTCCACATCAGACTCATGTCTTTATGGCCCTTGCTTTGTGCACTGGTGGACTCGTCCATCAGATTGCCAGACAGGAAAGTGATTCATTGCTCCAGAGAACACGTCTCCACAGCTCTAGAGTCCAGTGGTTCCATCCCAGACTGTATTGAGCTCAGTGATGAAAGGCTTGTATACAGCTGCTCAGCTATGAAAAGCCACCCTATGCACTGTTCTTGAGCTAATCTAAAATATTTGTAGAAGCAGTCCGCATGCCTAAGTGCATTTGTTATACACATGTGGTCATGGAAGTGATTGGAGCACATGATCCAATGATTTGGATTGGTACCTGCTTACTTGGGAAAACAAACATGACGGTAGGTCATGAGTCTCTGCATAGTAGATTAACACTGTCGTCAGACTATTTTATCTTGGCATCTCTGGCATCTCTGAAATGTAGGAGTTGGGTTTCAACCTGTCCATTCGCAAAGTTTAAATGTATGAAATGGAACCTTGGATCAGTCTTGAGGTTGGTTACTGTACTCTACAATGTTAGCTGGTTGTATTTTATGCTAACTGAAGGAGAAAAGAACTGAAAGGATATATTACAGGCTGTTGCTACAGTTTTTTTTCCTGAAGCGTTGTGCTTTATGTACTCTCTTTGCGGGTTCTTTGCGTCATTTTTGGTTTCAGCCCACTAAGACAGCCCACTGAGCAACTAAGGTGGATGAGCCTTGAAGCAACATTTAATCAGGTTTGATGGGTTCAGTTACACCGTGAGTCACTGATTGGAGATTACAATAACAAGAATTCTAGTTTCATTTTTAAGACAAAGGCAGCATTTGCTCTGAGACGAACAGCTGAACAAGCCTCCAGACTTCCAAGAAGACAGACCTGACAGAGCTGCAGCCATGGGTGAGTGGGGCTTCATCGGTGGATTATTTAAAGACTTCCAGACCCATTTACCGATGCTGGGTCGTTTCTGGCTCGTCCTCGTTTTGGTGTTTAGGATACTAATCCTGGGAACTGTGGCCAGTGACATGTTTGAGGACGAGCAGGAGGAATTTACCTGTAACACCCTCCAGCCAGGATGTAAGCAGGTGTGTTACGATGAGGCTTTCCCCATCTCCCAGTACAGATTCTGGGTGTTTCATTTGATCCTCATCGCTACACCTTCTCTGCTTTACTTCGTGTATGTAACACATCAAGATCACAAGAGGGCCAACAGCTCCTCGTCGAGGAAAAGGAGCAGCAGGAAGAACAGAGAAGAAAGAACTTCCAAGGCGCTCTACATTATCACTGTGATCTTCCGCATACTGGCAGAAATCGGCTTCTTATTTGTCCAGTGGCGTCTCTATGGCTTTGAGGTGAAGGCCCATTTCCAATGTAGCCGTTCTCCCTGCCCCCTAACAGTGGAGTGCTTCACTTCCCGGCCTGCAGAGAAAACAATCTTCCTCCTCTTCTACTTTGCTGTAGGGGTGGTATCAGCATTTTCCAGCATTGTTGAGTTTCTCTACGTCTCTTGTAAGTGGTTTTGCTCAGACCAGGAGGACAGAATCTACCACTGTGACTGCGAGAATCTCCGCAACCACAAGCAAGAGGATACAGAGGAGAAATCAGTAGGAGAGACGATGTCAGTGAGCACGGCCAGCAGTGTGAGAATGAAGAAGGGATCAGTGAGAAGCAGCTCCAGTCGACAGAGCTCCAGCATCAGTCACAAGTACAAGAATCCAAGAGGAAAATATGTGAGCGCCTCGAGGCTTACATTGTGAGAGGACACATATGCTGCAATCACAGCATCCTCCTTTTTCTATCATAAATTTGTGACTACATTTCTAATTCCCTCTACATGTTTTCCTCTTCATGTGTATTGGCGACATCATGAAGAAACTTATGGGAAAATGACAAAACGAGCATAGACGATAAGAAGGACGCATGAGAGACATCATTGACTTGTTAGTTCTGCTGAATGACGAAAGTCTGCAAGCATTTTGACAGAAACATTTCCTGGAAAACACTTGACAAACTTCCTTACAGGTGATTGGTTTTTAGTCAATGTTGCCCTTTCGTAGCTGTCAGATTCATCAAACATAGAACCTCTAACCCAGCAGGGGATTCAGGCCATACCGAGACGAAAATAAGACCCAAGAAACCTTGAAAATGAGTACTATTTTTATATTTCTTGGAGAGCCACGCCTTGGTCCTACTGGTTCGACTTGCTCTTCTCTCTTCTGCTTTCTCTCTCCCCTTTGTTTGTGTGAATGTTGGCATTTGGTTTTTGTGTTTCAGAAGTCAAGCCTCAACCTTACCTGCCCACACATTTCCAGACTGTGGCTAATTACTGTGTTGACTTTGCTGATTACTTGTTGGCTTCTTAAGGCTGAGGAGTTCCTTCAGTTGACCCCAGGCTGTTGCACCACTCAGTGTAGCTTCGTTTGCATGCTACACTGCCAGTGGGCGAGGACCCTCTGCCTATGGTGAAGAGAGAGAATGGCTTCCTGAGTGTTCTAGGGTTTATTAAACTGCCTCAAATAAATATACTTATATATTTCCGGTGCTTTTAACACCACTTTTAAGTCCACTTTGCTAAACTCTTTATTGACTTTCTGGTCCAGACCTAAAAGGAGAGTATGCTGGAGCCGATGCTAAATGGCACAAAGAAGGTTTCTCCTCTCATCAGAGACTATAAGGACTAGAGATGGACCGATCCGATATTACGTATCGGTATCGGTCCGATACTGACCTAAATTACTGGATCGGATATCGGAGAAAAATAAAAAATGTAATCC